CATGACCTGAGCGCTTTTTCCTGGATAGGGGGGGGGGGGGTGTACTCATAGTCCTGCATGCCGTAGTCGTTTGACCATTGACCTCGCATCCCTACAAAGCCGGGACGGAGCACGCCGGGTTCTCACCGGACCAGGCTCTCACATCACCAAACGCGAAACCCCCTGAGGTATTTGGCGAGTCGCATGAAGGGTGAGCTGCATCCTGCTAAGGGTGTTCGGCATCTTGTGCTTACTTCCTTGCGTACGGATGACAGCTACGTATGACTTAATTTATTTTCTGGTGCTTTCACTTCCAGAGACAGTTGTAAGCACTGTGTAACTGCCTCGAGGAAGCTTGACCATGTTAACACAACGTGGTGCGATCATCCCCCGTAGGGGGGGGGGGGCACCTCAAGCATAGTTTCAGACTATTTTGTACCAGCAATATTCTCCATGGTGTGTGCCCAGATCTTCCCGCGGGAGATTGGCGGCGTTTGATAGATGACCGTACGTGCAGTCAGAGAGGTGCCCTGTGCCACTGTAAAGAACTACGGCCCGGATTAGCTCGACAGAGTGCCACAATCGATGGAGCAAGTAGTACCAAACAGCTGTTTGCCCTGCTAAATATTCAACAGGCCTGTCTCTGGTCGCATCCAAAGTGAGTGTGGTGTTTCGGTTTGCTGCTTTTTCAACAATCGACGTACGAAGCACCACGATGTCCTTTGTCACAACCGTAAACGGCATAAGGTTGCGGCGTAGGTCTCACAACTTACTTTGCCAGATCAGGGATATCCAGCAAGCGCAACAGGAGGCTACGCTTTTGTGGGCGTTAAAGATGAAGGAAAGGAAGACAACAGAGCAAATATACTACAAAAGAAAAACTACGACAGCAACCAGAAAGACAAGGGTGGGAACACTAAAGAGGAAACGTACCCTCAGGAATCATGCACGGAGGCTCGGCACCATCCACGCCGCATTCCCCAACGTCTCTGAAGGCAGATTGGCAGCAGAAATCCTTGCCATTGCGAGCAGCAGCAAAAAAAAAAACAAGTAGAATGAAACGAAGAACTGGATTACGTTGTTGTAGGCCGGGCAGAGAGATGTTGAAACATCTTATGTTCCACATCGGAATACGTAGGAACGTACAAAAAAATGTACCATAGGTAGTAGTAAAAAAAAAACAGAGGCCCAGTCGAGAATGGTAGAATCCAACTACCTCATGGCGCGATCTCGACGATATCGGTGAGAATAGCAAGACATAATAACACACAGCAGCTCAAACTACTGTGAGGATGTTCGACACGCACATGAAAGTAACCATATGATGTGAAACGTCCAATTTGGTGTTGGGACGTTCCAATGGCTGACGACAGTCAAATGATCTAACGATCGCCCGATGAAAGGAAGGCTCCAACCGTTGAACGTTCGGAGAGATATGCATACGAGAATTTAAGGACATGGTACTGCTGCACGAGACCTTCTTGGTTGGGCTTTTACGCACAGATAGGGCTACAAGAAAATACACTACAGTTAAATCACGGGAGCAAAACCTGGGTTGCCGAACCCTCCGGTGCGGTAGTACTCCACGGAAGTTCGCCAGGGAACACGTATGAGATGTGCTGATCGCCGCACCCTATCCCTACGCAATCTGTTTTTGTGTTTTTGGAACAAAGCGGAAGGAAACGGAAGGAAACGAGACAATAACAAGGGAAAATACAGGGAAAACGACGGAACAAAAATAGGACAGAACGTCGGAGAAGTTGATGGGGGGAATAAACTCCTAAGTGAACAGCACACCGCACATCGCCCTGCCGTCTCTGAGGATGTGTGTTCATGTTGCTAGTCTTGGCTACAACCAACACACTCCACTGCTGTTATTACTTCCACGACTTGAGCCATCATTGTATAATGAACGACACACATTGTCTTTGCGGCGTTCTCCAGGCGCGGGGAAACACAGCGCGATACGATGTAACTCACTTGCGCAGCCAAGGGGGCAGCACGTGTTCGCGGGTCCAGCAAGGCCCTCGATGCCGTCCACACCGCAAGTGTCCACTTTTGTCTCGAACTCTGGAAGTGATTGCAGGGGGAGAAACAGGCAGTGTCGCGGGAGGGGTTGCAGGAGGTAGTCTTAGCTGGGGCAACCATAGAGAGAGCGCATTCTTATTCGTAACCCTAGGGGTGTCGTCCGAAACCACGAAATAGCACGTTTGTCCTGTCTCTTTGTTGGCTACGCGTACCTTCTGTGATGGCACCAGTAAAGTACGGTTTGTGTTTACGGAACCGATGGTGCCATAATGATTTAGTTACAAGCCTCTTCTACCACCACTGTTCGACAACAGCATCTATCTAAACATAGCTGTGGCAGAGTGGGAAGTTGGAAGCAGTGGCTGGATCGTTGGAACGTAAGGAGAGGAGAGTTATCTCTGGTGCGACATGCTGCCTCGTCCGTCTAACGACAGAAACGGAAAAATAAGCAATCCTCATCCCATCCATGCCACCATACCGCGAGCGATCATCTATTCGTTCTTGCTGTAGGGAAGGCAAAGCGAGACAGAACTGACAATAAGAAGGTCAACGTTGCTGTTGTCGCTTACCCTGGGGCATGCGGCACGGAGCTTCGACCCCAGCCCCGCATACTGTTTCCGTGGTCTCGAAGATGTCGTAGCAGCAGTAATCTGGTTTCGACGGTATTATCGGTCGATGTGTAGTAAGTTCGATGTTGGACATGACATGGCTCGACAGTAAGTTCGATGTTGGACATGACATGGCACGACAGTATTTCGCGATTTAGGTGATAGAAGCTTCAAGTGGGGAATGAGACGAAACGCCCGCGACGGGGAATAGAAAATAAAGGACTGTCAGACTTGTAGATAGGTATGCAGTGAGTATGAACACTAAGAGGGTGAGCGCGCCTACGGAGTACAGAAGCCACAAGCTTCTTTCAAGAGGCTCGACATTCGGACCTGACTTTTTGAGTACTCACCAGCAGACGTAGCCCCATCCGGAACGCTGGGATCCACAGACAGCGGGTTGTCACCCGGCATGACCCAGGACATAGGTACTGAACTGCACGTGAGGCCGCCGCATGTACCGCAGCCGGCGGGACAGCACAAGAAGCCATCGTCGCTGAGAACACCATCGGTCACTCCACAGGGTGTGGCGTCGACAGGGTCTGCGAGATGTTCAAAATTGTTTTCGGGGGAGGGGGTCGCGTGTGAGCGACTGTTCCAATTGTCATGCTGTAGTCCATGGCGCAAAACATCACCTTGGTATCACTGTCGCTGGCTTCATACCGTTTCGACCACTGCTCAAGGTTACCGATGCGCGCAGAGTAATAAAAACTCGGAACTTGGGTTCCACGTGTGTACCAAGATTTGGTTGGGGTGGATGTGGCGTTGGTAATACCGCCAACAACGAGTTGCTCCGGTCGGCTTTCTATCTCTATCGGGCGTGGTACACACGACAGTAGGATGTTAGGTGCGCGTGAAAGCCCATGTATCATGACGGTGTTTCATTCATAGGATGTCTGTTGCCGTGGTGCTTATGGCAGACGGGAGGAGGGGGAACGTCTGCGTTGTAGGCATTTTGCGGCAGTTATTGTGGCGTGGTTCCATCTGTTTGTTCCCTGTGGCGGCGTACAGGTATCCGGCCTTAGACCGCATACTTCCGATCATCATCACCATGGGAGTCGTTGCTGAAAATTTGCAGCGAACAGTCCAACGATCAATAATCCTGCGGAACTCTCGCTGCAACCAACGCTTGTAAACCAACAAACGAGCGGTTCATCACTACCCCCGGTGCTTTGAAGCTGATTGCCCCAAAGCTGAGCTCGTACCCAACTCTTTGTGCTCTGTACCTCGCAGCCTTCCCGCCTTGTAGTCCTAGCCAACCTAGAACTCTCTTGAAAATCGATTTAGTGCCAGTGGACGATTCGTGGAAATAGCGTGTGTGATCGTTTTGATACCTGTAGGCGGGAGGGCGCACGCTTCGCTCGATTCCTCTCCCCCGGTGCACCAGTCGAGAGGAGTTGCCCTGATCTCAGTCAAGAAGCACTCCTTGCCGGTGTTCTCTGCAGACGTACCGCCACACGTGCACACGCATTCACTCGCGCAGCAGATGTCGGCATTCTTGCCTGTGCCTTGGATACCGTTGCACGTCGCAACCTGGGACGGTTCTGGTATTTTTGAACGAAGAATCAGAGGTTGCGTGAATTGGGGAAGAGGGCAGAGTCAGGGCGGGTTGTGGGTGGTGGCGTGGTAGTGGGCCGTCGTGGTGATGTGAAACTATTGATGCACTTGGCAGACTGCTGCTCTTTCATAAGTTGGCGCGGTGATACGAATGCCCGTCATGCTCGGTTCTCCACTCGGGCAAACTACTCGCCTTGATTTTTCAATTTGTCTCCAGGTACATACGCCCGTTCGCACCATTTTGTAAAAGTGGCGCCAAGAAAAGAACCCCAACGCTGGAAAGTTCCTCACCGAGCCACGCAATTCCTCTCGCTTCTACAGTTCCAAATGCACCCACGCACCCTTCGCAGCAACGAAGTAAGTGATGAACAGTATACTGACCTTGGCCAGCACATGAAATGCGAATTGGTGTCCTACGTAGAGACAAAACAAGGAGAAATTTCTCCTATCTTGCAGCAGTGCTTGAATGCTTGAAGAGGAGGGTTAATCCGACCCTCAACACAACTCGGCGTGGTGCACCTCAGACCTACCCTCGCACGCAGTCGTCGTCGTCGTCGTCGCGTCAGTCGCTTGTGAGTTTACCCTGCTCGGAGGGGTCCAGAGCAGGAGCAGGAGTATGGCGGACGATCTCATCTTGTTGATGTTTCCAAGCGTTGAGTACGATTACAACCACGGGGCCAAGTGATGATTGTGAAAGGTGAGGCGTGCGGTTGTGAGAGCCGTGGTGGATGATTGAAGGCGGCACAACAGCTGTCGGTTCGATGATGGGAACGAATTCAGAATTATTGCGATATTGCAATGCCATATTTCGGAATCCTTCATCAGCCATCGCCTACACAACGCGTGAAAACAGAGTGATGAAACGCACATCGAAAGTACATGGGCTTGCAGTCTGACATATTTCAACACAGCAGCAGAGAGTACTACCCGCGCCACAGCGGTGATGCGGTGATGGAAAGAAGGCGGCACGATTCATGTCGGTTCATTGATGGGGGGTTGCGTGTTTTGTGTTTTGTGTTTCGGCGATTTGAATATCCGCCAGTCGGGCAGCCATCATGCATCATACGTGTTAGAGAACGAAGAACGAAAAGGCGTCGGATACGTGTATATGGATGCATCGACTTAATACAGCAGTCCGACACAGGTCAAAAATTGAACAAACAACAGCAGTATGGTAGACTGCCCTTTACAGCAGTGAACCCATTAGTCTTTGATGTTCTGAAATGTGATGCAATAAATCACTGCAAGATATACCACAGCAACAGTCGAAGGGGTGTTGGGAGCCGTGGCAGTGAGTGGGGGAGAAGACCTGCCGGATACTGGCCTTTGGTGCACTCTAAGGGGCCCACCTAGCCCTTGCAAATCGCGTCGGGTCGGGCAGGGTGAAGTGTCGGCGTCGTCATCATCACCAGCGCCAACGTTCCAACCGGCTATACCAAAGACCCCAGAATTGTATTTGTATGTCTTCGTGCTGTACTCCAGGAAATGTGGGACATTAAGCGTGCTCACGTTTGTTGTACGTTCCTCAGGAGCACCTACTTTAGGTACTTTCCCTTCGTGTCATGATAGACTGTAGTGCACCATGAAAAGTCAACGATAGCGAGCCTCTCCGGCGCTTCATGGTTTGGCGCAGCAGTAGGGCAATGGACTATTAATAGACTACATATCTAGATTCGCGAGCACTTTCCGAGTAGCGGCAGGGAGCATCCTTCGTGCAGCGATGAGGCCTCTGAGGAAACATTGTAGACTCACGGCGTGTCGGTATTGCATATGCATGTACAGCATGGTGCATGGCGTAGTACATACAGCAATTAAGGAATAATAAGTATGTACGATGTATAGTCTAGTGGCATGCGAATCGTTGAGCAAATTATTACCAGTTCACCATCGACCGAACGGTGACCAGTTACGCCGCACTTTGAATCGATTTTGCCGTGCTATCCTGCTTTGGTTTCTAGCACTCCACGACTCAAGACGAGGGCGTGGCTTGCTTCACAAGAGCAAGGCGTGGGCGTCACACGAACACGGTGGTGAAAGTGGGAATCTTGTCCGCTTCAATTTGTAGTGGTCCATGTGCGGCGGCCATTGTGGGCACACATCTGAAACAGGAAGGGTCAGCTCGAACAACGTCACTGCTGTGCCGTCTACTTCGAGATGAGTAAGGCGGATGCCGTTGGAGGTTGGTCCCTTTTCCCTGACAAAGAGGAAATACCCGCTCAAGTCGGCGCTGCGCTAGAGTCAGGAGAAGGAAATCACAGCAATGAAACCAGTGCGGCGACGCCCGGCGTCGCAGTGCGCCCACAGAATAGTTTCAACAGTCCTCCTGTGGGCGAGCAAGGGAGTGACAGGCTGAGCCTCGGTCGGGGCAAGCAGAACGAAAAAAAGGGGGTCGCACTACTCAAAAGCAAGGCTGCGCGTTCACCTCTTCGTTCTGGGGTTCACTTCAAAGAAGGCGATGATCTCGAAGCTGCTCGGGGGACACAACCTCCAACAACAGTGGGGGCGATGCCAGGAGAGGCAGCGAACGACGAGTTTGAGGTGACAGTTTAGCCGAAACCAATTGATGGAAACTGTTTCGACCGAAATATCTACCACACGATTGAAAACTATCAGATGGTTGGTCAACGTCATCGTGTCAATGGTCACGTTGCACCATGTTTTCGTCCTATTAGTGCGGTGACGGCCCCCGGCAGCAACAGGTACGCTCGTTTACTGCTGCTGTACAGTAGACTTCGGTCTACCAGACCACCCGTTTTCGGAGCACGAAGGAATGTTTTCGCTCCCGTCAAGACAGCAGTGTGTAGTCCTCTGCCTTAGAAAGGCTTACCAAGACTACTCAGTCAGCAGACCCATCTTCACACGAATGTTTTTGGGCGCACTTAATTTGCACCAAGTGGTACGAACCTCGAGATACAACACCATGCACCTACAGACCAACCTGTAGATTTGGTGCTGTCGCTCTCTTTGAGTGCCGTCGCGTTCCAAGGCCTTCCTCTCGAGTTTCGCTGAAAGACAAGCTCGAAATTCCACTAAACATTACTGTACTGGTAACTAGAAGCTGGTTAAATACATCAGCGACATCCATACTAGTGCTGCTGTTCACATCCCTTGCGACACAGCTCAGCAGTCGCACAATACCGCACAATACCGATCCCATCTGTGCTCTCTTCCGAAACATTACTGTCCCTCTTCTGCAGCTGAACGAGGACAGGAGCCCCGCGGAATGGATGAGAGTCGGGGACACGACGGGGGATGCTTTTCTGTGGTACACTGTCATGCTAGAGATCGCGAGTGCTTGCTGCAGCATCGTGTACATTACTTCACACGATGAAGACCAGGTGAGCAAATCAATGGTCTCAAGGGTGGACAAAAGCGGCCTCTACAAGTAGGAAGCTCTAGACTAGACTATAGGACTGCTGTCAAATTTAATTGGGGTGCACGCGACTGGCACTTTGAGACCGTACAACAGTGAACCACCAAAAATCAACCGCCCACATTAAACGGACCGTCTACCAGCTGTTAAACAGGTTCTGCTTTCCCACGGTAAGTCGCTGCCATTTTTTCACCTGCACATGTGCCCCCGGGGTTCTTCCACATTTCACACGCTTGTGTTCCCGCCCTCTCGTCCTCTGCCCTCCTTCTCGCTCCAACCCCGACCACAGCTCTTGTGGAAAACCGACTGCTGGGGGAGGTGGACGTCTCTTTCGGACGCCGAGGACGTCCAGTTTGTCGAGTTCGACACTCACATCGGCTGGCAACAGTACGGCAAGGTTGACAAGCTGGGGCTCCTTTCGGAGCTCAGCGAGAGCACCGCCGTCATGGGCAGCCTGGCGGGCGGCATGCATGGCTTGGTCATCATCATCGCGTGCGTGTTCTTCTTCTTCTCTTCGTCCGCGCTGTGGCTGAGCTACTTCGACTTCTGCTGCAGTCGACAGACACCGACCCATGAGGGGAAGGTGGGGCCAAAGGAGGGCCAGAAGACGAAGCCCGCCATGCGCGACCACCCCCTTGTTCTTGCCCGGGACTGTCACCGGTGGATGTTCGTGATGGCGGCGAGTTATATCCTCGCCGGCCTTTGGTGCTTCGGGGTGGGGTGCATTGGGTTCTACGTTGTTATCATGGGGGACTTCACGGACGGGCTCCAGGTGCTGTTATGGTCGTCGAACTTTGTTGTTTTTCTATATTCGTTATTGTGTGAGCATGAACATCGCTCCCACTATGTACTACGCCCAGTGCTTCCGCATCACAAGCTGATCATGTGGCGTGTGGGCAGGGATGAATCTCCTCGTCACCGACGAACGCCAAAATAAAACACACCCAAGCAAGCGATACTGGAAACATCACCAACATAGACTTCGCGATCCTACCAGGAACTAAATTGCCAAGATTCGGCGCTGATAGACCTTCTTTCAGAGCATTCGTGCTGTGAGGGTCGCCACTAAGGATCTACCACAGCGTTGAACAACAGGTGTTTGTTACCGCCACTAAAGGCTTTGCTCCACCACAGACAGCGTGTGTCTCGTAGGCTAGAAGGATCGGAGTTTGGTTCTGGACAATGACACAGCACGCAGCATCCTCGCGACCACCCGTTCAAAGGCCATAAGACAGTACCACAAATGTAACCGTCTCACCACTCCCTCCCACTCGTCCCTGTCTCCCTTCCCGCCCTCCGCTCCCTTCTGAAACGCTGTACATATTCCCTCACACCAACGTCGTCCACACCACACAAGGATACCATAAGCGGTTGGGGCGAGAGTGTGTCGTGCACGGAGCCCCAGACTAGCCCCCGCTACGGCTTCTTCGCGAACGGGCTGTCCATCTTGCTTTTCTTCGGAGGCGGGACCATCATCTTGTACAAGACCTACGTCTCCGACCGCGAGCTAAGCGAGGCGGTAGAGATGTGGAAGAACGACCGCGCGGAGATGGCCGAGATGGAGGCACGACTGGCCATGATCAGGAAGAAGGAGGACTACAAGGCTCAGGTTGCTTCCGCCGCCGCGTCCGCCGCGAGCCCGGTGCCCATCTTCAAGAGCAGGAAGTCGCAGAATAACGCACCCTCCTCCTTCTCACCCTCGCCAACGGCAGCCAGCAGCAGGAACGGGTACCACGCCAACCCTTCTGACTTGGATGACATGCTGCCTCTTTCTCCGCCCGACCTAGTCTCTCCCCCTTCTTCCGCCGGCACCGCCTCCACTGCCGAAGGGTGGGACGGGCGCCACAAGCGGATGGCCACCAAGGCGGCTTTCTCTCCCAAAGATCTGGAGCATGACGAGCAGTCCGTCGGCAGCACTGCCGATACCCCGCGGGATCCTCGACAGTCTCCGTCGTTGTCTTTCTTGGAGTCATCGCTCTTGCAGTCCCCCGAGCCGCAGGTATCCAACATCGATCGGGACCTGGAGCTTGGGTCGGGATCAGCGGCGGCCCCTGTTGACGACGATCTGCCGCCACCGCCAGGGTGGGAGGTCAGGACTACTCCTATGGGGGACAAGTGAGTTTGGGAAGAGCATGGTGTCCTTCGGTTGGTTGCGGGTAGTGTTGGCGGTCCGTTTCCTGAACACAACAAGAACAGCCTGAGTATATGAGTATCGTGTGCTGTGCATACGTGATACAGCACTATATATATGATGTTGATATGTATATCTTGTTAGCCTTCAATGCGCTGCTCGATAAGGTTCTGGAGAGGAACCATCAGGTTTTCTCGTTTGTTGAAGGGCGCGGCTATCGTTGTTTGAGCTTTCCGCAGAACGTACTCCCCAACCGCTCCACGCGTTAACGAGGGACGTCTACCGCTCGTCCGATCTATCTGTTTTCCCAAGGCTTGGATCGTGTCGACTTACGTTTTCGTTTCTATCTTGTAGCGCATAGTAGAACTTGCCGCCTGCGTCTCGCCCACCTTCATATATCTTTCTGTGTCTCGCCTCTCAAAATCTGTGCACGTGTCTCGCATCTGATGGAAAACAAATATCCACACGCAGGTTCTGGGTGAACATTGCGACCAAGAATGTGTCCTGGGATCGGCCCACTTGAAGACACCATAACCGCGGCTCGTCAAGTGGAAATGGTTCAACAGCAGCACTGCATCGAAAACCGGTGAAAACGCAACAACTTTACCATCAGCCAGGTCAAACGGACATGGTTATCAATAGGTTGTGGGTGTTAACCTCGGCGCACAGCCGTCTTGAAGGGTAACCACCTTTTGTCAGGAGGCTCTTGAAGTGCGAGTTTTTTTCCATGGCGAGGTTGTTCAATGCGATTTTTTTTAAGGCAGTTGGTTGAGGTCTGTCTCACGTATTGTTCTTGTTGCCAGAAGGTGTTCCTTGTCGCCAGAAGGCTAAGTAAGGTTGAGGCAAAAGCGAATGCCGAAGGAGCCTTTGTCATGCTCATTGTACTACTTGAAGTATGTTTTTTTGTGACAGGTTGGAAGTTGTCCGTTTGTAAACGAAATCGATGTTCGTACATGGGCACGGAAGGGGTGAGCAGCGTGCTGTTGGACCAATTACATCGTGAGGTTGTTTCCGAAGCCTTGAACCGACGACCGACGACCGAAAGCTGTAGGCTAGTCGTTCTATTTGCGGAAGGGACGACGGTCGAGATTCCAAGAATCCGGCACATGCTTCTGACAGAGAGGGAGGGGGGGGGCGGGGCTGGGAGGCATTGTGTCAGGCCAAGCGCTGCTGTTTTGAAAGGAATTCGGTCTCTAGACTAGAAAAATAATGTGGATGGAGGCGATCGGCACGTTCGGGATTGGGCATGGGCATGCGCACCCTGTCCTCTATGGCTGGTCGGAAGGTCTTTGGAGGGTATCGACGCGATGTGGTGGCGTCCCTCCGTCTCTCGGAGTCCTTCCCTCTTGTCTAGAGTGAGTGTTCTCGCGTGCAGCGTCTACTTTGTACTTCTAGAACTATGCCACCTCAGGGCATCCTTCCATGTTTCGTTGAACGAGGTCGAATCTTGTTCGTTTGATTGATTTATGTATCCCTTTGGTGGCACGTTATCTGTCAATGCCTCCTGTGGATTGCCCACGGTGAGTCCACGCCATCGGGATTCGGGTTGAGACTCTTATTTGTATTTTTCTTGGTAGAAATCGTGATTTCGTGTCGTATGCACTAGAAGTGATAGTCTACATGTTTTCAGAGGCGGTATTGACGTGCACGGGTCGCCCCCGTGGTCGAGTAATGGTTAAACCTCGGAAACCTACTTTGGAGCAGGTTTTGGGTTCGATTCTCCCGTTGGAGGGTTCTCTTTGCCAACATTTTGCGGTGGCAAACGGCATATTTCCTAAGTATACACACCTCTTGGGGGTCAACAAAGGCACGGGACGACTGGACCCTTCTCGCGATAAAAAACCAACACCCAAGTACTGCAGGAGGAACCGTGGGGCAACAAAAAAAAACTGTGTGACCTTGCCCCTGTGGGACCCCGGGGTGACACACCGAGGACACACCGAGAAACGTGTGAACCGGCGCCACAACGTATGGGAACAACACACACACAAATCCGGTAGGGCGAGTGTCCCGAATATCGGTCGGAAAAACATGGCGAACCACAATCTTCGTTTGGCGAATGTTGCGACTTTTAGTCTAGTCCCCTCGAGAACATATACCCCCCCCCGTGCTTTGCCTTCATTGCCTGTTCGGAGTGGAAAACAGAAAACATTGACCACCTCTTCTTCACCAGCCCGCAATAGTTTTTGCCCCTTGTCTGACCGCGGCATCGCGAGCCTAAACAAAATGCAAGATATGGAAATTAAGCCTTTGGAAATAACAAAATTCCTACTACATAGTAGAAGAGCCATCCTCGCTCGTAGCTGGTACAGCGCCAAAAGAGAGATCCCCCAAATAGCATCTCAACAACCATCCAACCACAACCATCCAAGACAGCTACATGGCGAGATACAAAATGAAAAACACATCGGTAAGGTAAGTAGGCACTACACACCAGGACGTTGCACATGCGCGCGATGTGAACGTTACCAAAACGACAAGCTCATGCCCCTCATGAACACGACAGAAACAACGGACCCCATCTTGCTCAGATATGATACTATACGGCAACACTCGTCTTATGTTGCACCCGTGTTCCGCCAGCGCCTTACCGGTATATTTTTTGTCTCGTGGGTGTAGCCAAGCTCTGACACGTACTGACGGTATGCTGCTGCGTTAGACATCCCGTGGGATGTGAAAAGAAAGAGTGGAAATCATTGCGCGGCAACAGCGTTCCGTTTTGCTCGCTTCGCTCACTACGCCCCAATGGGCAGACAGACAGACAAGACAGACACAGGCAAGACACCCAACCCTACAACCCCCCAGTATTTTCCGCAAGTCACATAAAGTACTACTAGTAGTATACAGGTGCGCTGGCTGCTGGAGAAGTTATTATAGCATACGAACGAGCTACGGTGATTCGATCACAACCGTCCAAAGGCCACGCTACTGCTGTGTCCGCGCCACACATCGATGACTTATGATCTTATGATTTGTACAAAACCCGTTTAGAAAACTCGCCCAACGGGCGCCCTATCAACATGCGTCCCCACAAGAATAAAATACAAAACAATATGTCTGGTCGACAGGTACGACAGGTGAAACTCGTGCTGACCCTGATTGGTCCTCTGGCGAGCCCGTGAAATTGACCCGGACTCACGTTTGCGCCGACCCCGCCCCCCGCACTACAACAAACCAGAAGACCGAGACAGTCGCTCGGAGACGCTCTGTGGACGCGCATCGTTGCATAGCGTTGATCGTGCCGCTTTTTCTTTACCGCCCAAAACGTGGGATCATCGTATGTACAAAGAGAGCGCTAATATGTATTGCTAGCGCAACGTGGACATGGGCTTTTCAGGACGAGCGAAACCGACGGCTCTCGCGACGTCAGGGCGATGCCGCGAGCACTACCGTTGCCGAGGAGGGTACATCTCGTCCCAGGCATCGGCGAGAGCTTCTCCGGTCACCAGCCCCTCGCCACCGCCACCCCCGTCCCTCGGCGGGCGCGCCAGCACCGGCACAAAGCTCAGAGCGCGCGCCCGTCTCCACCCTCTACCAAGCGGGCGACTCCACCTCTTTGGCACGAGCGTGCCGCCGTTGTCCAGCCAGCGCAGCGAGCGCGCCGCCCCAACCCCGATGGCGATGGGCACGAACACTCCCCCGAGGGCAACCGCCGCTCCCCACAACACCACAAGGGCAGCCAGGCGGGCCTCCCGCTGGAGCTTCGCCGGCGGCTTCGGGTCGCCTCCTTCGGATGTCGGGGGTTGTTGCCCGTTGCCCGAAGCAGGCGTCCCTCCTGTCGCGGTCGCGGTCGCGGTCGCGAAGACATCATCGACAGGGAAAAAGCCGCGCTGGACCATGGAGTTGCGCAGGGCGAGTACCTCTTCCCTGAGATCGGCGTTGGATACCCGGAGCTGGACAGGGCGAGGGGGAAAGGAACGTTGGGGGGGGGCGTCAGGATAAAGAAGGGGTCTGAGGGAGGAGGGGGCGAGGAGACTCTCATATGCTACATGTACTTCTGCTTGGCCCCGGTGTCTACCGTCAAGTAGCTATACTGTAACCGAGTGGTGTGAGACAAGAGCAGCGATGGGTGCTAAGGTGGGACGGAACGGTGAGGTAGGTCAGGGTCGGTAAGGTACTTTGATAGGGGGTCGTGGGGGTCGCGATCTGTGGTTGGATTGCGAATGGCAGCCGACCACGCGTGGGAGCAACACGGCCATAGCAATCATCAGGCCGCTTGGACGGACACCAAGTGGACTGACTGCGCTTGGCTTCCGCGTAACGGTCAGTCAGTCACACCTAGGTAACTGCAATACGAGGTAAGTGTCAAGCTAGGCTTTCTCGTCCACAGATCAAACAAAACAAGCACGTACTTCTTTGTTTACATGCTAACGGGCGTGTGCAGTTAGTTCATCAACGCGGAAGAAGTGGTCCAAAAGCAGCCGTGCCTACCTTTAGAATATCGGCCCGGATGTCGTCGCGCGTAGACCTCCGCTTTGTCCCACCCGAAGGTGATGTGTTTCGCAAAGGAAGATTGAACCACGATGCCATGATATCAGCAAGCCACGGCGTCTGTTCAAGTTGACACGCAGCGCCCATGTCGACAGTTTTGAGAGTGTCGGGACAGGATATTCATGAACGCAAAGTTGAGGCGGATGTTGGCAAGAAATTGATTAACTCAGCAGATGTTGATGACGACATGTTCTCCCCACCAACAACATTCTAGACATGGCGACTCCGTCGCTCGCGGGGATCTTGACTGAAGTCTTTACTGCCGTGAGGATAGAAAGAAACCTGTTGAACTGATTCTTGTTGACTGAACGTACGAAAGCCCTACTCCACGTCCTATACATTGCGAGACAAAGTGAATGCCATAGATGCACCATGCCTGCTGCAGTGGTTGTGCAGGAGGCGATCTTGAGTGCCGAGAAGCCACCGCCAAATCTCTAGCTTTCGCCCCGCCGCTCTTGCTACTATCGCCGTCGTTAGTCCTCGCAGCACCCAACCTCAGGACACCTGGCTTTGCGCTCGCAGCGCCGAAAACAAAGCCATCGGCCCCGCCCAAGATTGTAAGAAATCCTGAGCAGCACGAGCAGCAGCAGCGGCAGCAGCGGCAGCAACAACAACAATAGCACGGATGAGCGACTATCAACATGCGGAGAAACACCAGCTCGCAGTATTGATGACCTCAGTCGCGAAGTTCTTGCATAATATTGGCAGTCAAACACGAATGCTCCGGGTAAAGGCTCGAGCCGCCAGATGATAGCGCGGGCGTATGTAGTAGACCACCATGTCAGCCACTACTGCTCGTTGATTGCAGGTTTACCGTAGGCACGCGCCAGGGGTCAGTGGCACGGATCGCGCTGCAGTAGGTGTCCCGGTATAGTGCCGGTGTGTGTCCAGGGGGGTGGGCCGTGGGCCGGCACTATACCGGCTACCGGCACTATTCAGAATTGTGCTTTGATACACTATTCAGGGTCTAAAAATACCTCAATAGTGCGGGCTTGGCACTAGCTAGGACTGTTCGACTTCAGGGTGCAGCGCTTACGTTTTGCGGGGCTGACAGAGCACCAAACGAACGGTAACGGATCAACGGTGAGGTGGGCGACGTGGGCGGGCTTCTTTAAGTTTCGTGAGGCTGCTAGCCTATCGAAAACACTGCTTTCGTCACATTATGATAAACTTGACCAGATACATTTGTTGCTATATTGTTCTCTTCCCACCTCTGCACGCACTAAGGTGGCGAACGTCGCCGCTGCCTTTAAACCGTAGACCGTGCTGCCCGATCAAAAGGCACCTCGCTATCAAATGATCTATTGCTGTGGCAAGAAGGCCGTAGCAACTTCAAAGGCGCGCCTCAACAGCGAAAGACAGACGCTCATCATGCACGCACCCGATGTACATCTGGAGGTACAACATGGATGTAGTGCTCCGTACATGAGCACAACAAAAGCAGGTGCAACCCAAAGGAGCATGAAGAAGAAAACAAACTCCCCTGTTCCTTCGAGAAAAAGCTAGAGACAAGACCCAAGCCTTCAGAAGCAAGAAAAACGACTGGCCAACCAAAAGACGCGTCGTCAGTCTCAGTGCGGTTGAAAACAGAAATTTCTCAAGGCCCTGCGCCGTGGGAGGGTGCCATGGAGGAGGCTGAGCTATTCTCCGGAAAAAAAGACAGAAGCGGTAGCAACAGAGGAGAACTGCGCGTGTCTACCATGGCTACTACATTGAACACGTGTTCGTTTCGGAGTGTTTTCGATCTTAATCCTTGCGTACTGACCACCCCACTACTCTCGTCACTAATATTTCCACTTTTTTGGGCGTTCATCTCTAGACTCTGGCCCCCTGCGGCGTTTGTTGTGAGGAAGGTTATCTGGCTCGAAACTCTTGTTCCCCTTACGCCACATTTTCCTCCTCTATCATGACGGCTATCCTTCGGTATTCTTTCCACACCCTTCGTCACCACCACCACCTTCCTTTTCGCCCGCCTCACTACTGAAATCCCAATCTATTGGCTGAATTTCTGTGGTGGAATTCGGTCGATCGGTAAACCATGACATTCATATTTTTGAAGACGTATAACGCGTACCGACAGAAACCGAGTTAACTTGTAGCTCGTAAACCGGCTCCAAATCCTGTTGGTGTGGAAGGCTTGAGGCAAAAACAGGCTGTGTGGGGGTTGTGAACCGGCACTATTGAGGGGTTCCATAGTGCCTGAACCCGTACTAAGCGGGTAGCCCTAAATAGTGCCGGTTTGGTACTATTCAGGCCTGTGTCTGTGCCGAGAAAATTTATCGGCACTATACCGAACTTTGACACTATTCAACCGGCACTATACCGGGACACCTACTGCTGTATTTGAATAATTCGTTCGCTGCGCGGTTGTCTGGAAATGGCCGTATCGCCTTGCATCGCCCCTACTGCAGTGTTACTTGACACAAAACTGAGCCGGCATAGGAGCCTTCGCAGGCTCAAATATCCACAAAGAAAACGAGCCAAAGGAGCTTCCCACGTTTTGCATATTTGGAAGCGCGAGGGAGAGGTGGAGAGGTGGAGAGGTGGAGATGGCGTGCGATGGTGCCCTATCAGGAAGCAACGTCGGTTCCTACCTCTACATAGTTTATCAGTTTGATGCGGTGCATTGCATCCCAAGTACAACTCCACAGCACGCCCAGATCAGAGGTTTAGACAGAACAGGATTCATCCACCCACCCAGCACATGAAGCAATTCCAGCACATGGAGAGGCCGCATTAAGATAGGCAGTCGAGACGATGCCTGTTGGTGTAGTGCTTCACGTATTAGCACACCGCCTTATCGTATCTTGCTTCCTCTCTTCTCGCTCTTGATGGCAAATTCCTCCTTCTATCTAACCGATTACAGCCCACTCCAAAGGCTTGACTCCCTCTCCAATGGGCGTAGTGTCTTGGCCTGGCGTTCCGACTGGACAAGATGCCCGGGCAAAGCACAAGCAAGTACCACACACGCACGTCCCAAGGAAGCAGTGCCAGGGGGGGTCAAGGTCTGCTTGGTTACTGCTGTAGGGGGGGTCAGCAAGCGGTGTACGCATGATTTTTCGAGATCTCGCGGCGCCCCGCTGCCCGTCTGCAGCCTTTGGCTTGTCTGTTGTCTGTTGTGTCTCCCGTGTCTCCTCTATCAGCTGTGCCATGAAGGCCAAGATAACGTACCTGAGCGCTCTAGCGCTTCCCCTTCCGGTGTACACCTTCGTGGCTACCTCGGTCGTCCCACCGCGAGCTTCGACCAATGCCAGACCACACTGCCGTGGCAGCAGCAGCAGCAGCCGGAGATTCCGGCCTCTATTGGCACCTGTGCGCATGACGCACTCGCTTGGCTTGGGCAGCACGGCGGTCGGGGCCGGAGAGACACTCCCGACCGCTACCGCGCAGCACGGCTCACCCTCCGCAAGGACGTTTGATCGCTCGAATCTCGGATTTCACCTCAAGATAGGGTCTAAAGTCATCAACATGTAAGTGCATGTGGTCGAATCAAAAGGAGTGATTTATTTTTGAGATCCGTAGACAGCAGTAGACAAGCTGATATACAGATACAGATGCCGCTGCTGTGAGGTAGAATCTCAAGTGGCGGTGGCTCAGTTCCACGATCACCACGAGATCTCCACAAAGACATGATCTGGGCTTTGTTTTTTTGCTTGCATCATGCCATCCCTTTGTCTCGGTGTGCAACCAACAAGCATTGCAACCTACAACGACCGCGAAAGTATTAGTAATCTAAACTTGACTGACCTCTGCCGTCAACACCGACAACTAAGACGTCAACGTCAGCAGCCACCTTCGACCCAACTGCTCGATCACCGCTGTAGGCTATCTATCCACTGACTGCGCCGCGGTGCGGTCTCGTGAAGAACCCAGACGTATGCAACAGTTTTTTCCGCGTGTCGGGCCTCATGGGTGTCTTTGGTGTAAGCGATACAAGAGTGACCGCACCTCTTGTTGGAGGTCTCTTTTTTGCGTGACTTTCTGCATCTGACCTCGGGGAACGCTCTTCAGTAAATGGTTTACATGACTAAGAGCTAGCGCTTCCAGGGTATTTAGTTTGTGTTTTCTACAGCAGTCGCCGGCGAGAGCAGCTGTGGTCTCTGTTGTGAGTATTGGAGAATCGCCTGGATGTTAGTCTGTATGTTCTGGCAGCCCGCAACGCAGCCGTCTGAGAATAGGACTGCCGCAGGTTGCATAGGATACCACACTCCCTGTACGGAGATTTCAAGGCCGATTACTAATACTCCACGACGAGGAGGAAACCAAAACCAAATGATAGTATGCATAAACGTTGTCGGAAGGCTCTCGACGAACAGCCTTCATTGCCGTCGTTTTCGGCAACGTCCCTGCTTCTGGTGCAGGGTACAAACGTCGGTCCCGCGGCGGTATGATATCTTGCGTATGCAACTTACAACGGTACCGCAGACTTTTGGAAGCAGGCGTTGTTGGATGACTACAGTAGTCTACAGGTGCATCACGAGTTAACGAGAAGGGACCGGTGCACTGCCGTGCGGCGCGTTAAGTAAGATCTCAAGTCAGAACGTTGCAGCCTCACACATACAGCGACGGTATGAAAAGCAGAGCCCCAGAGAGCCCTTGTGCGTGCGGACGACAAACATGGTCGATTTGGTGACCCTTGGTTCACGAGGCGCTGTGCGCAACGATTTGGAGCGAAGCGGGCAACGTACAGCTAAATATTTCGTTTTTCAATCAGGCTGTAGTGCGCCGCAATCGTCCAACAAAGCCTCGTGGTAAAAGATGCAGACGGCCAAAGCCCCTGTCGAAGGTACTGTTGTGTTGACGCTTTTGGATTGACTGCGGGAAACGCAATCGCGATCGTATTTCGAACAAGAACCGAAACGATGGAAACGTAAAGGTCGATGTTCAAGGTTTTCCTCGCATCTCGAAGGACGTCTGTACAGCTTGGACTGTTGGACCTTGAGGCAAAAATACGCTTCTTGTGTTTGGGATGTAGAGGATGGATTATATCGTTAGATGCCCTGTGGCCCGGTAGGGAAAGCGAATGTACGGGCGTCCCGAAATTCCCCACAGCGTTGACATATCGCGGCTGCTTCTGTTTGCCAAAGGGCAAGCAGCTCGGTAAGGGCGCCAATACTCCTCACTCACTCATTCCTATGCATATTTATAAACCATAAATACAGTGTACCTACCCTATGGCACTCCGCTTATTGTACCAACAGCTCTCCCTCGTACATGATGAGCGGAATACGAACATACACCATGCTGACCACAGCAGTACAGTAGTGTGCTTCACCCCCCCCCCCTGCCGTCCCTCTCCCCGACCTCTCGGGCCACAGGTACGGCTTGCTGTTCGCGACGCAGGCGTGGTTCACCGCCCTCCTTATGTTCCCCCTGTGCTTCGTGTCGGCGCTGGTGGCTCCGATCTTCGACTGGCGACGGATGCGCCCGCCCACGGCGATCGCGGTTATGTGGGGAAGGCTGGCACTCTGGAACATGGGGGTGAGGCCAGAGGTGGAGGGGGCGGAGCTGCTGCCGCCAAGGGGAGAGGCCGTGGTGTTCGTGGCGAACCACGGGTCGTACCTCGACATCCCGGTGACGAACTACTTGCCAAGAATGTGCAAGGTGCGTCTTGTTCCTGCATGGTACGTACCATGGTATTTGTACCATGGTGTTTTGTTCCATGGTATTATTTGTAGCTCGGTAAGGGTGCGCGCACGGCTCTGAACCGAGCCGAAACAGGTTTGGAGGGAGTGGTACTATTGATAGCGGTTTCCTTGTTGCGTACCATGTACACGTTTGGGTTTGCAGCACCCCAAGAGCACTACGTTGAGAATGATGCTACATGCTTCAGAATCACGCAATATGTTGGCGTGTGGTTTTGCAGCAGCCACCCCTGTCGCCAATTCCCCTCGTTTGCTTCTGCCGTGCTTCTGCCGTTATTTTTTTTCGGGTGTTACAGAGTATTTTTTGCTATTTTTTCCACTATTGAACCTCGATGACATTGACTGACGTGTTTGTGTTTTTCTTTCGTGTGATTTATTTCTCTTGCTTCTGCTCGTTCGGCACGACGCCGGACTGGTCTTGGACTGGTCTTCGGACTGGTGCCGTTTTTCAGTACCTTATGAAGGCGGAGCTGCTGTGGCTGCCGATTGTGGGGTGGAAAGCTGTTTTGGCGAGGGACATTTTCGTACACAGGGGGACGTCTACGACCTTTCGACAACTGCTTAGGTCTACCACACGCACCCTCAAGGCGGGAAATTCCATCATGACCTTTCCTGGTGCGGCGTTGATTCCTATATCCTAGTTTGTGGCATGTTCGGCTTGCTCTTGGTTATTTGTCTTGTAGGTTTCCGCGCACAGTAGGCGCTCTTTGTTTTATTTGTTTAGATCTTTTTAGTGTTGACCTACGTCCACGACTCTCGTCTCTGCTCTAGATTTTTCCATAATAAGATATCGGGTAGTGGGTACAGCAGGCAGGAGTTGGGCGTTCAGTAAGAATCGGCGAAACCTACAACGACCAGCAAGGACGTTGCATTTAGAGCGTCTTCATGGGTCGCTTCGTGTCGATGTTGTCATTGTTGTCGCCCAACAAGGCCCCATCTGAACACAATAGCAATCAGTCCTCTCTCCTGTCTCACTTTATCCTGTTTCTAACCGACCGGTCGCCCTTCCATCGTGATGTGATGGTACATTTGCACATGTCATGGTGTATTTCGTGGCGCCATGATCATGATCGTGTCACGATTGTCAAATTGTGTCCACAGAGGGGACTCGCAGCCGTGACGGTCGATTAGGGAAGTTCAAGCGCGGACCGTTCACGATGGCGCAGCAGGCAGGAGTCAGAGTCGTCCCGGTGACCATCACGGGAGTTACTGAAGCGATGCCGCCGTTCGCCATGGCGCCTCTTCGCAAGGTTAGCAGCTATAGATGAATGATGAAGCACGTCAGCCGCTCCTTTTCGGAACTGCTGCATCGTAGTCAGCGAGCCATGCACAATTGGCTGGAAAATAAAATCTGTTAGTCTTGACGCAAGCGTGGGAGTACATGCGCAGGGGTTAAACAAAAACCCTGCCGAAAGAAAATGCTCGATGAGCTCGTTCTGAAACCAGGCCATGGGCCTTTGGTGCGCTATTGACACGTGCCCCGCCACTCCCTGTCAGTCATGTTTCCAAGCTTAGTCAGTGATGTCAGCTGGGTTTTGTCGCCTGGCAAAGTTAAGAAATTGTTCTTCCACGCGGTGCTGTCTCTGCATGCACACATACATATATCGGTGCTTTTTTTTTGCATGGGTTTAGTACAAGGCAACTGATGGCGACCGGCGATGACAGGGTGCTGCTGTAGGGGAACTCTGAGCTTCTCAGCCTCTGCTTTACATTCCTTAAGGCCCCAGCCTTGAACCTCGGACTGATTTCGCCCGGCGTTTTTGTTTTCAGAGATAAATCAACCACCCGCTCATGCGGACATGCGCGGCGCAATTTAACGAGAGCCTCTTTTGTTCCGCCTACCTTGTTCCCTTGTCCGTCTGCTTGGCTTTTTCTTCTGCCGGTCGTTTCCTGTACACGGCTGAATGTCTCGCACCGACACGTTTCTCAAATCAATACAATATATCCCCTTTAGCCTCGAAACGTTCGGCTCGTTGTACACCCGGCGATATCGACCGAGGGTAAGCCGGTGAAGGATCTCATCGCGGAAGCCCGAAAAGCCGTGAGCGACGGCTTGGAAGACTGGCAGAAGCCGAGACCAAAGGTGGACGCTAGTGGTAGTGGGGATGCTTCGCCATCCACGCCGCCGTCGCCGTCGCCGCCTCCGTCCCCATGAGGTTGGATCTCTCGCCGTCGCAGTAGTTGGAAGCGTCTCGATCAAGTTGTAATATCGTACCATACCATGGTTATTTTTGCTGTGTTACTGTAGTTGTTTTTTTTTCTCCGGTACCCACTCGGCCGCCTTTGTTTTCCATCCCTTGACAAGGTGCAAGGTTTGCCTTTGATTGATGAACACTTTGGCGAGGTCTCCTTGGTTTTTGATTACCGTACTCTAAGTTGCTGAGCTTGCTATGTTTTGGGTGGCCTACCCAGCCCTTGCATCGTCCATCTCTATCCTAGAGGTTGGGCGCAATCTTTGATCGGTGTCGTGCTACAATACAATACCGCGTGTTTCTCTTATCATCGCCAGCGCCTGATGCCGTCGGCTGTGCACGTTGTCGTGCCTGCGGTAGATAGTTTTGTTGTGTTTTGTTTTTTTCGTGCTGCCCCGCGAAGGGAGGGCGAGCGTTGCTTGGCGCGCGGGGCCTGTGTGCTGCGAATTTCTTGGCGTGGCGCAGCAGTAGGTACTGCAGGGTGTTCCACTGCGAGTCTTGTCGTGGAGGGTGTTTCCCGCAACTTTTGCTTTTTTCGTCGGCTCGAGAGCCTGATACTCTTAGCTCGCCCGTGGCTGAAGACCGAGATGCTTTATGGTCGGTGCCTTTCCGGCTCTGTGCTGTTCCCAACGCTCACTCAGGGGCTGAAAATAGAAATCCCCCCTCTCTTGGGCATGGAGGATGCATAGCATAGGTGTGTAGATGAGATCGATCGATGACTTGGAAAAATCCACCTTTTCGATGAATTTCAGGCAAGGGTGATGGCGATGCACTAGCCGAGGGCCATGCCGAAAGACGCACGCTAAATATCGCGTTCGATTGTGAATGCCTTCAGCGCCCATTTCTGTGTTTGGTGCTGTTGAATTGGTCACCCGTTGCTGCCGCTGTCTTGTAAGAGACGCGAAGATATAGGATACCACCATAGATCTCCTTCCTATCCTAAAATAGACACCGAGGGGGCGGGAAGGATGCCAGAGATACATACTTGTGGGCGAGATGAAGTAGTTGTCCTTGTAAACTACTTTCCACCCTGTCACCAAGGGATTGATTCATCTATCAGGCGTTCCGTTGGATTGGACGGTATTTGGAGGTGCATGCAAAGGGTGTTTGGTCTCAATGGTTTGATGGTTTTCGGCGGCGACGACAACGAGAACATGAATCGTTGGGGTGATCAGTCAGCATGGTGTGTGTTATGTGTGGCAAAATCATGTTTTTTTGTTGCGGCGGTTTCAAAGTGTAAGATAGACGCGGGGATGTGGGTGTGGTTGTGAAGCGTTCTAGACAGGGGATTTCTCCGTAGAAGATGGTACAGCCAGAGAAGACCATGTTATTGCTCTTGGAAAGGATTAAGGATTAACATCCCCAACACGGTTAGGTACGGATGCTACATTTTTGGTGTTACGTCAGGGGTTTGCTCTAGTGTGCCATATCGCTAATCGTGTCGACAGAGGACGTACTAATCTTCCCGGATGCGGTGCGATAGAAACGTTGGCGGTCTACCCGTCCACCCCGTTGCTTTGGACAAAGCTAGCGAGCGAGCTCGGTGTGCGCGCGTGTGCTTTGGAAGCCATCTTGGTCTTGATGTACGCAGTAGATAAGAGTCGTACGGGAGAGGAAAACGAACGGTATGGTACAGTCAAGGTAGATGTTGATGAGGACGTTGTTTGCCTGGAAGAAGCGCGTGATCTTCACATGTTCACATGATGTTCATAAGGGTGCAGCGAGGCACTCTGTGAGGTGAAAGGACGCCTATCACCGTGGTGCGATCGATTTTTTTTGTACTCAAGGATAGAGAGACGATGAGTTGATGGACGAGTTGGTTGGCGTGTCATGCAGTCTTGAATTTTGATTTTCGCTATTGTAGGCCACACCGACGTTGCACCTGACTTGTGTGCAAGCGACACTCACTCGGAGATGGAGATTTTTTTTTTTTTTTCTCCCATCATTGGACTCTGTCGTCTGCCCCTCTGGCCCCCATCCTCCACTTCTACTAGCTAGACGGAGATGGAGAATATGGGCTTCTGGTTATGGCAGGCGAAAGTCCTACTGTACGTTGTTGGCAATCGCTCCTCTCAGTCCGTGGTCGATGAGCACTCTCTGTTATACTCCTTTTCGCTCGATGCCCACTGTGTGCACGTAGCGTGTAGAATGTTGTGCGTTAGAGTGTGCTTCTCACGGGCTAATTTAAGAAGGAAAATAATCTACGGGTGTCATCGCAATTGGCTTGAAGGAGATCTGCGTCTACCCGGATGACGGGTCCCTGTTTTTCGGCCTGTTGGATATCGATGCTCACTGACGTGCTGACGGACGGAAGTACTCTTTCATCGTTTTTCCTAGCCAACCAGCCCGTTTTGAGTTCGAAAATCACGCTCAAAAATACCAGCGGAGGAGTTTCAGGTGCTCTGGCAAATGCGGTGTGTGGGCATTTCTCTTCGGCGATACTGAGCGTCCCGAGGGACGCTTTGGTGGAGTGCACAATCTTAAGACAGCAGTGGTGTGGAAACTTTTTTTTTTTTTGCAAAGGCTCTCTACGGCGTGATGGATACGATACGCGCGTTCTAGTTTAATTTATTTTGGGTCCTGCGCTTTTGTGATTTGTTCTCGTTTCGATGCGCTACTCCGTCTAACGATTTACTTCTTTCCTTCTATTTCTGAACACCAAGCGTGGTTTGTTTGCTTGATTCGCGTCCTGACCAGCTTAGGCTCCACGAAGTGGACGACTTGCGAAGAGTTTTTGGGGTTGATTTTCGATATATGTTTTTGATCATGCGTTTTCCATCGACGTACAAAATTTACGGGCAGAGGCAAGCGTCAGCCTTTGGCGATTGGTTGTCCTTCATTCTTTGGCATCGAAGTGAGCAGAAGCGGGGCGTGCAAGAGAAAGGCGATTGGGGGCGGCGGGGTAGGGGGATATGGTGAACAGTTGCGTTTGGTAGTCGCTGATTTGCGGAGTGAAGGTGTAAAGAATCGCGATATCCCTTGGTTAATTAACCCTTCCAAGATGTGCGTTTCGTGTGGAGCTACAGTACATAGAGTCCTAGAGAGGCGTGGGTACTGTGTTTCTATTGACGAGCTTTATAGAGACGATACTGTTGGCGAGAAACTCTCGATTCAGCGCCACATTTTTGTTTGGTGAAACGTAGACGCAAGCACGAAGCACGTTTTCTGACCGCTTGTAATGGATGGGTGGTTTTTCTTCGACGATGGAAGAGTGTCATCAATCGACACCGGTGTGTAGTTGCAAGGGAAACATTTGCACACCCTCCCGAGGTTGCGCTGTGCCTAACTGTTGCGATGGCGTTCTGAAATACCTGATATAAGCATGCCGGGCAATGAACAACAACAAGATATGGACACGCATACAACACAAATGCATCATTGCAATGTTATTGGTGCTTCGGCACCTCTTTCTCTGGCCGCAGATGATATTTTCTCGCGCTCCTTCTCAGAATGGGCAATCAGGGGGCTGGTGGACACATTACCGCGCATGCCCGATTACCGGCAGTCATACGTCATACGTAGCATACGTAGCACAAAGTGTGCTCAACGCCTACAGTCAGCGCGACTGGATGTACTTGGATGGGAGGGAGGTATTCCAAACCATAACAAAGTCTCCGTACAAAACTATGCATAAAAGACTCCCGCGGGACACGCACACCCTCTTCAAATGCCCTCACGGCACCATGAGCAACACGCCACGAACATGAGAGACAGAGCAAAACCAACGGGTTTCAGCAGTAGGAATACGCGGCAAAGACGGCGCTAGCCTACAAGCACGCACACGTGGAAAAAATATTTCCCCGCGGACTCGAAATTTGAAATTTGGTACATCGAGACCAAAAAGCCCGTGATAACGATGCCCATCTATACTTGCGCGCCCCCGGGAGGCAATTCGCAAATCGCCAGCTCTCGAAGGGGAACCTCGCATGATAGACCATACACCCCATACACCCCGCGTGCGGTAGCATCTGAAGCAAACCCAAGGCAATGAGTCAGACATTCCATCTCCTGCCACATAAATTGCACATACAGTATTTACAAAGAGGCATGCCACTCAAATGCCACGTGCCATACGTGACATCTTTTACCACGATGAAACCGTTCCTACGGCGCAGAGCTTTGGGTAATATCGCCACGACGCCGACAACATTCCAGGGCCAGCCACCACACCGCCGTGTAATGGCATCCGGGCGATGTAGCCGTCAGCTGTACAAACTGCTGTCTACCCAACCCAGCCCGCCACGTGCCCCACGCGCTGCTATCGGAACCACAGCTTGAGGCGAAAGGCGTCGACGCCGTTGAGGTAGTATTTCATCAGACGCTCGTTCTTGCTGAACCCTAGCTTGGTGTAGAGGTTTAAGGCTCCCCCATTGGTCACCTCGGTTTCCAGAACCACCTGTGTTCGCATATGTAGCGGGCATAGCACAGAACAGCAGCACAGCACAGGGGCAGAGTTCCAAAGAGTTGAGTATTCCGCGCGCTCAAAATCCGACGTCGGCCGGGGAGGGGCGGTCTGTCCAAAATCATTTCTTCACGATTTCGGTGACCTCGGCATCCGGAACCATCCGGGGTAAAGGAGACTGGCACCATCAGGGCCACAAAGGAATGAGCAGCGGCATTGTTGACCGAGTACAAGTTTGCCGAAGAAAAAAAACAATAAATATCCTAGGCTACAATGTATGTCGATTGCCGACGTTCTTCCCACGCATTAATAATTAGTATGCATCGCTACGCGTGCCCGGGTCATCGTTCATGGTCGGAATCAATTGTGTTCGTAGGGCACCAACAACCATCATCTCGCTTACCAAGCGGTGGTTGCTGCTATATAACTCTCTCTCTCTCTCAACTGGTGTATTCTTGTGCCGGTGTTGTTGAATACTGAAATCAACTTCATTGAAACCATTTGATCACGAGAGCTCCTTCAACTGCGTCACACGTTGTTCTCCCCCTTCCTCCCTCTCACCTCCTCGCAGCCTAAGTCTCGCATGGCCTCGATCGCCTTGGACGCTAGCGCGGTCCCTTCGGGGGTAGGGGACAAGGGCCAGGGTATAATTGCATTGCGTCTTCGTCAAGCTTCGTTTCATTGAAGACTTCCGATACCATTGAAAAGTTTATATAACAAGCATAACATCAGGAGAGAATAGAAACGCAACAATTTCCAAAGTTCACCAGCAGCAGTCGAGACAATGGAGCAATAACCGGTATAAACATGGCCTAGCATCTCGCGTTGAGGCCAGGACCGGTATTTTTGTCCCCCCAGCCAAGGAATAGTCTAGAAAAGAGAGCGAGCGAGCGAGAGAGAGCTTCTTGATGGATGCGTCAGCTTCTGTGCAAAGAACGCCCAAGAACGGTGGTTTCGACGGCCAGCATGAGACCCCGATATCCAGTCCCACGGGACAACAAGGGCAGACGCACGGATACCCGTGCGTGGCAGTTCGGCGGCCGGATAGGTTTCCACAAAAACAGGACCCAGGACAGGCGCGGGGCACGGAATTCAAGGCAACTCGTTCGTGTCATGTCTTCGAAGTTCGTCGTACGTATTCTGGAGCACTGCGAAGAGCCGGAGAACACGGTATAATCCGAGAGCTGCAAGCATGAGAGCTACATAGCTTCTTGCTGCTGTACAGCCCTTACCGATGCCATGCTTTCTGAAGGATGTATCAACCGCCAGCATGGCAATGTAACCCGTCAGGGGGTCGTCTTCCACCTCGCGCTCAGCCTTGCACACGATCGATCCCACGGTACGCTCTCCGGCTTTCGCCTGTCGAAAATAGCACAAAACGAAGAGGTGCGAACTTTTAAGAGGTGCGAGTATTTGAAGTCTTTTTCGTCGACAAGTTCGAAAGTTTAGTTTTCCATAAACTAAGCAACTATTCAACGAAAAACCGTGCTTCAGAGTACGAGGACATCCCGAACAAAACGGGCGACACGATTTTGTTCCTCTCTTCTTACGTAAATGCCTGGTGTAGGTGCAGCAGTAGCGCAATAGGCTCCGCAGCAGGCACACCACCGCTGCATGACATGTCATTAGGCTCGGCTCGGCCGACAAGTCGCACCCGTGCTACATAGCTCGTCCTCAGCGCTCGCTTTGGGTACACACGTACACACGTCGACCGCGAAGTTGTCTCGGCTCCAAAATCGCCTCTCTGGGTGTCGTTGTTTCAGAACGAGGAGGCGTGACCCGCCACCACCGTTACGCTTACAACACATTTATCGGCCTGACCCATCGAAGATGGTAACAAACATGGCTCATGGACTCACGGAGGGTTAAGAAACGGCGCATACGTACTTACACCGGCCGAGTTCAGAGTTCAACTTGCTGCAACATCGACCGAGTTCAGAGTTCAGTCCACAACCCGAGCCTTGGATACAACAAGGGCGCGAACCTTACCCTCCGCGTTAGGGCAGACTCGGCAAGTAGTCTGACGTGGTTTGCTTTAAGTCGTTTGGGCACTACTTACTTGTACTAATAGTCGTCATGCTCACTGCAGGGTATTCAGTTGTCTGGGCTGGTTCAACCTTTCCTCTCATCTTCGTCTTCTCACCACAAAGCACAGGCCGGGCCAGTTGTGCAGAAAGTACCGGTACGTGAATATGGAGTAGGGTTCAGAGAGATCCCTGTCGACGAGGGCCATGATGTCCGAGAGCTGCCTCTCATCCTCGTACTCCACCAGCCGGACTGCATCGACGCCGCTTACGACAGCAGCACTACTGCTGTCCTGACCGACCGGGCTCATGATGTCACGGGGTGAAGCGTCGATACGAGGGACGTCGCGGGACCTACTTCACCGGTGGCCTTTTCGCCAATATTCTGGCTCGATTGCTGCAGGTCGGTCGCCTGCTGGCTGCGCGTTACAACCTGGACGTGGGGGATGATGGGCACAGCGCAGGTAAAAAGAGCGGGGGGGGCGCAGGGCAGGCTGTATATTTATGCGATTGCTGAGGTGCTCTCTTGATGTTGATAGGCGTTGAACCGGCCTGGTAAGGGCGACGTCAGTCGAATCGTATCTACCGGCATCAACATCAACATGAATAACTCTTCCGCAATACGTGATGGTGCCGCAGGCGCGGGTCCGCGGCAAAAATCACGCAGCATATGGATGGATCCATAACATGGACTGCTGTTCCATGTAGTAGCTGTCAGCCCAGGAAGGGTCGGGGCTCTTCAGTTGAGAGAGGGTCGCAAGGTAAGGCGGAAACCACGAGCCACGGTAGCAGATGGGATGGATGACGACCGGAACCATGTAGCACCACGACTATTTAGCGCACTGCTGTCTTGTGGTTATTTAGTCGCGGTGTTCAGTGTTTAGTGTGGCCTGATCGCTCGACCGATCCGTGACGTGCACGGACACGGACACATAGCAGTACAAGAGCGCCGTGCGTTGCTCACGCTGCCAAGCTTCTAGGGCATCACACGATTCAAATTGCCAACAACAGCAGCAGCAGTCGTTCAAAAGTAGCCGGTTCTCTTGCAGCCACGGCCTTGAAAAGAGGGTGCTCGAGACACTTTACCAGTATACGGTATAACTGAAGCGGGGATCATGCTGGCACGAAACACGATGGATTTGATGATTTTGCGCGAGGGAAGTGCAAACCGATGTGTTCTTTGAGTACGACTTCACCTCGAAGAATCCACAATTGGACCTACGGCATGACAACATGGCTTAAGGGCAGCTGCGGAGGCAAGCTACTGACCAAGAGTTGCAGCAGCCGTAATCAATCAAGCCGGCGGCATGAAGCATGTGACTCAAAAGAACCGCGAAGGTGTGTGTGGAATTATTTGCGAGATGATGCCACAAGTATCTTGATTTTTTTGCGACGGGATCACTCACCCCTTGTTGAAACAAGCCCGAGCAAAGGCGGCTAGTGTTGGCGTTCCCGAGACCGTGAAGAGCACCCCCTGCGGAGGTGTGTGTGTGTACGTGCTGGTGCGTGGCAAATTGCAGAGGAGAGAAAAGAGGCATGCGGAATGAACATGGAGTGGCAGCGGAGACAAGAAGAGGGGGGGGCGCGACTGGGAACTTGTAGTTGAACGGGGGGCCAGAGAGAGGGAGAGGGCAGCACTGCACCAGCTTGTGCAGCAGCAGCTTGCTCGCAGTGGCAGCCGTAACCCGAGCCTACGAGGAGAGCGAGGAGAGGGAGCGAGTGCAGTGCCATGGTTTTTTCCGCTGGGGATGGAGAGGCCGACCTGCTCGCGAAATGGATGATTGTGGCCGCAGTCGGCACGCTGGGCGCGTGCAGTGCGGTCGCACCCCCGTATGGCAGGTTTGTTTTGCTGTTGGAATAATTACCAACTGATCGACTTGCATGTATTTGCATGTTTGCTGCACATGTTCTGTACCGTAAAAGAGGTGGAGAAGCGGCCGTTGCAACGAGCGGTGGAGTAGTGCTTACACACTCAGCTTCCTATGTAGCGTCAATCAACACTTTGTGCATGCAACATGAAAGCAAGCCGCGTAGGTTTCGCCGCTTTGTTTTTTTGCCGCATCACCACACTGACTCTATTTCGAAAGAGCTGCATCTGCTGTCTACATTGTAGACTACACAGAGCACCTCAAGCGAAGCACCCATTCGCATGCATTCGTGCTCGTGTGCTTGTATTTAAGTTTTTTTTTTCGTGGTTTCCGTCTTTCATTAATGTTCAACGTTTGAGCCGCAGCTTGCTGAAAACCGTTTTTTTTCAGGATGTGTGTTACCGCGGTACCCGTAATTACCACACCTTCTATGAGACGGTTGTCTCCAGGTTCGCGTGTGAGCAAGTTCACTTTGGGATGTGTGTTGTGGATACACACCGGTTCAACCTCTGGTGGAGAGGCTGACGAGTACGGATAGTTGTGAGTCAGGGGGGAACAACCTTGCGTTGAAGCAAGGTTCAGCGTCCATCCTACACTGACTCTATCTGTGGCAACACCCCGAAGGTAGATCTCCGACAGGTCATCTGACGTCACAATCTACGACAGTCTGAGGTGGCATTCACACACCTTCCAGACGTACGTAACTAGTTCCATCCCACGTAACTTTTGCAATAACTTCGGGGTATCCACCCCCATGCTATTTCGTTGTTTCGTTTGCGCTTTTGGGGGGTTGGGATTTGGGGCAACGGGGCGACAAGGAACAAGGAGCGGTGTCAACCCCCGACAGACTACGTAACACACTCAAAATCTCAAACACAGGATAATTAGTGTATGTACCACAAACACAAAAATTTACTGCTGCTGTAGGTGGGAGCAGTTTGAAGCTTAAAGAACACAAGCATTCCTAACGCACGCAGTATGCACGTCTACACGTGTACACAGGCTCATGTCAACCCCAAAATCCCCTATCTCTATCTGTGCTGTAATCCCGTTTGTGTCCTACTTGTACGTACCGCGTTTTAACACCCCGGGGACGACGAGATTTCGTCCTGGGTATGCTGCCGTAATTTCGGGTGCGTAACACATTTTGTTTGTTTCCTGTAATTACGGGTACGTACCGGCCGGGAACCGCCGTACCGCACATCCCTGATTTATTTTGCTGCTAGTGCCGGTGCCCGGTGTCTGCTGTTGTTCTGCCCCCTCGCACAGGTACTCGAGAGCCGTCATATTTGGCATAAGGTAAGCTTCTGCTGCACCGTTCACGTGGTGGGTGTGTGAATGTGTGTGCAGACATCTGGCGCTTGTTCTCTTGCGGTTGAGTTCACTTCACACTCGCAACGCCAAGAGAAGGGCAACTTCTCTTCACGCGAACCCTACTATACGATTGGTTGTACAACAATAGTTCAACTGCCTAACTTCAAGCAGTGCCGCCCCGCGCCCCGCTCATACTCAGCCGCTCTTGATGATGTGTCTTGGTCCAAATCAGGAATCGCAACTTGCAGTTTCCGGACGGCCTGTGAGAAACATTATTTTCTGTCATCCCGTTTATTCTGGACGTGGATCTTGCAGTTTCCGGACGGCCTGTGAGGAACATTATTTTCTGTCATCCCGTTTATTCTGGACGTGGGTCGTTCCACCAATTGCACCACCAAATTGGAAGTACTTCAATTGCTGGACCTCACCAGGCGGGGTCACGCAGTTTTTTTCTCCGCCTTCCTTGTGCGATGCCTTTCCTTGCTTTTTTATCGCGAAAAGGATCCAGCCGTTTCCCTCCCTCGTCGACCGTGAAGTCGAGTTTTTCTGTATACACTAAGGTATCGCTTTCCACACATACAGCAGTAATTTTGGCCTAAAATGACACATTGTACACCTATACCTCTCAAATGACAAGAAGGCGCCGAATTGAGGGTCAGTCAGGACAAAATAGGGAGAAACATGCCCGATGCACACTACGTGTGCATATATCCGGGCGTTCCCCCCGCCCCCAGTCTCTCCTACGTAGCAGTTTCCAAAGGGAGTGGTGTGCAACATTTCGTCCCAGCATGCCACTACCGGCGCCATCCCCCGCCCCATCCCATTCTGTAGCCGACAAACATGATGAGAATAGCAATCATGTTTATTTTTTACTGTGCCGAGTACCAAACGAAGCAACAACCTTGCCTTGGTTGACAACTTTAACTTTGCAAATCAAATCAATCGCCTAGCACGATCAACCCCGTTCCTGACCGACCGATCAGGTTCCCCCTCCTGGACGCGAAGCTGGGATGGATCCTTATGGAGTGCCCGAACGTGCTGATGTCGCTGTGGTTCCTGCTGTATGGCTCGGATGAAACCTGCCTCAAAAGTCCAGTAAACCTCGCTCTGTTGAGCATGTTCGTCCTGCATTACGTCAACAGGTACAGTACATTGGCTAGACATGCTGTGCGGGTTTACCGTTCCCGCCTGTGCTTCTTTGGCGCCAGGACGGTAGCGTTGTTCCTCGAATTGGACACCTCGGCGGCCCGGCAGTTTGTTGTGATCGTGTAGGGCTAACACTAGCACTAGCAACCAGTTTGCCTGAGATGGGAGTGCTAATTTCTTTCTTGGCGACGCCTTGAGCGGGTCTTGCTCTGTCGCGGCTGACCTGCTTGCAGTCCCAACCCTGTGTTGTTACTGGTCTCGTGCTTGTGTGTCGCGAAGGTGCGAGAGAAAACGGCGAACGTACTGCTGCCAGAACCGCGGGTGGATCCAATTAGACCCGCACGATCCATGTAGTCCTCAGTTTCGTGGGATCACCTCGTTTGCAACGGTACGTGCACCGTTGAGAGTACGGCAGCACCCACACAACACACGAAACGTTGAGTCTCAACCAATGGAGAATGGAGAACTCTGGCTTGGTTGTTGCACCGTGCACTTCCGGTGGTTGTCGTTGGCCTCCGACCTCTTTACGTCTGCCCCGCTTAACTCACTGGCCGGGACGCCTGTCATGGCGCCGTGATTCCTGTCCGCGTGAGCCCCATGTGGGTGTTATTTCTGACAACTTCCTCCTCCTTGTTGCATGGAAACGGATTGGAACTGCTGCTGCTGCTGCTGCTGCTGTTGTTTCGTATGATAGGTCTTTCGTGTTTCCTTTCCGAACACGCGGAGGCAGGCCAATGCCCGTGCCGATGATGCTCTTCGGCGCTCTGTTCGTGAGCATCAACAGCTACCTGCAGTGCACTCACCTGCTACGTTCGCGAATCTACCCGTGAGTACTAAATAGTGCTGTACGAACTATCGGTCGATGGTGGTGCATTCGTGCATACATGCACACATGAGATTGAAGAGCTTAATCCCACTCAAAAGGCTTAATCCCACTGATGCCGCCGGCTTTAGACGTTGTGCATCGTTTTGTGTTCCCGATCCTTACGGCTCTCTGCTGATCGGCACTCTCTTTGTCGAGTGTGGGTGCTCCGAACATTTCGCCCGCAATTTCTGGAGTGTAGTACGATGCGTGTGTGGTTCTAGCGCAAACAAGGTGCATGAGAGGTGTTGGGAAGCAGCAGAAGTTTCGTGGGGTGCAAACGGGTGCGGCTGCGGATGACTATCTTCAGGGTTGTGTGTAATCTACCTCTCTCTGCCCTCCTTAAACCGGTAGCCTTGGCAGGGCAGGGTTTTTCTATTTAGTAAACATGTTGAATAAAGCATGCAATCAATCGGGGAAGTTTGGTTAGGGTTAGGGATAGGGAATACGGTCTGCGTACCCCCTCCCTGTTCTATTTGCTCATAAACTTAATTTCTCGCGAAGGTGGTTCCTTCAAACCCTTCTCCCACATCTGGTTGTTATTGATCGCGCTTGGGTTTGCTTTGTGGCGTTGTTGCTGCTGTCTTGCTGCTGCTGCTGCTGCTGCTGCTGCTGCTGCTGCTGCTGGTGTTGTTCCTCACGTTGACTCGTCGGAAGGAATCAACCATTTGACCATCAGCCAGACAAAGACATGCTACATGCTCAACATCTACCGGAAGGTCGTGTACGTTTCATTAGCTGCTATCGGCGAGTATAGCAAAAACGTTGCCGTTGCGTTTTTCGTCTCGTTCGGTTCGGTGCTGGTTTTATTGCTGTGCAGCAACTCCTGGTTTGGAGACCCGCGCTTCATCATTGGCGCAGCGACTTTTTCCGCAGGTGCGTTGGTCGTTGCGTGATTTATTCTCAACTATTTTCTTGTCTTGCTTAGAAGCGTTGAAACCCATGTTGGCCATACACTCCGCACGAGTTGTGAAGGCCTGCACGGATTTTGAAGGCTGCTCGGGTCAAAACCGGCGCACATTTGCGGAGAGAAGCAGGACATGTTTGGTAGAGAAGAAATGGGATTTTGGTTCGTGGAATCGTTTCGCACGGTTGGGTTTGGCCGCGTCAAGACAAGGTATTGCAAAAGTGGGGGGATTTCAAGCCATCCGTCTGCGAAATTATTTTGTGGTTCTCATGCAAAATGGCGCTCGTTGCGGTGGTGCCTAATTTTAGTCGTTCTTGGCCTTGTTCTTCACCTCATGCCACTCGGGTCGTGTTGGGTGAGCGAATTACTCCATCTATGTATACCCTCGGCTGTACAGTTCGAACTAAAATGCAAGATATCCACAAAAATCGTGGCTCCATGTATTGATCTTCGTTTACCTCGACTGTAACAACAAAACTCGGCCGCACGGTCCGAACTAGAACGCCTGATATCCTCTAAAATCATTCTCTTGATGCATGTATCATCGGTAGTTATGTCCCGTCTCTTGTATGGCGCTCGTACAGCATGTATCATTTTTTTTTTTTTTCTCATGGGTCTCTGATGGATCGCTCCTCTTTCCTTCCTTGTGCTCCTCCTCGTGCCGCGCTGGCGGTACCTTCCAAAAGGCATGTTCATCAACTGTCAATCCGACGGAATCTTGAGGCGCCTTCGCCGCCCGGGAGAGACCGGCTACAAGATTCCACAAGGTGAGAGCAACGCCAAACTGTGCCACTAGCGGCACAAACTACGTGCTGTATGCTTGGGCCGAAAAACCTCCATCTCGGTTCCCGCAAAAGAAAGCTGGCTTACCATCTGTGTCCGGCCTCTGATAAAGAAAATCTTGAGAACTTTTCCGTTTGGCGAGGGAAAAGAATATACCATATAGAACGGATACCATTATAGTAGTGCTGTATTGTTTTGATCTTGTTTTAGAATCAGAGTCGTTACAGTACTGCATCGTACGCATTCTCGCGAAAACACGACAGTAAGACAGTAAGCTTGAGCCAGGTGGTGCTTCTCCCTAACCAACAGTAGCCACCATATGTTTTTGGACGTTTCTAGCAGTGTGCTTTCAAGTACGCATCCTAGATCTGAGAGAGGAGTATGTTGAAAACTGCTGTGGACTTGGAGTGCTACAATAGAGAATATAGTGCCATGGATCTCGCTGTGTTGTAGAGTGCCGCTGCTGAGGTTTACTTATTTGCTGCCTAATCCGACGATGTTTCTTGGGAGACCAACCGTATTTATGCAGCACAGCTTCACACTCGATATGTACCATCTTGCTTTCATGGGCCTCATGGAAGGAACCGCCGCTCTCTGCCGGTGTTCTTTAGGCAGACTGCGAGTATGCTGTTCGAGGTTTCTCATGAGGGCAGATGGTGATGTCGTGAGCGTCGCAGAGCGGTAGCCCAGTAGCGACATCACCAAAGTAGATGAATCAGAGCAGCCCCTTTGGCTCACCCGTTGGTCCGAAACCCTCTTCCGTTCTGGCAGTCGCAACCTGCTGCAGTTGATGCCCCCCTCTCCCCTACCCGCACTACTGCGGTCGGGGCCGAAATCACGCGCTTCCTCCGTGGAACACCTCAGGTGGCATGTTCGCGTACGTGTCTGGCGCCAACTACTTCGGGGAGTGTGTCGGGTGGATCGGGTGCGTACATGTGTAGCAGCCTTGCGATGTCTTCACCGGTTCATAAGAGGACGTGTGCGACATTTCGGTACACGGTTTTGCGTTTAGTCTATGCATACAAATGGGAGACTCTCTCATTCTGCGAGACTGCAAGCTATGCATACGTCCTTGGTTTTTCTAAGCCGTCTATTCATTGGTTTTGATTAAACACCATGGCATCGTCATTCAAAATTTAGCCTAGACAGGGATCGTGGTACTCCATGGAGAGAGAGAGAGAGAGAGAGAGAGAGAGAGAGAGAGAGAGAGAGAGAGAGAGAGGTGGGTACCCCCAGGGAACATGAGCACCTCCTAAGGAGCGGTTGACAACAACTGCTGTGCGTGGTTTAACCAGGGGAGTAGACAAGTCCATTGAGGACCAGGCGCAACGTTGGAGACGATACTGCTGCTGTCGCACGGTACCTTTTAGAACGAAGATGCACGCGGTCTACTCGTGGAAGATAAAGTAGGTACTATTGTCAGCGTAACGGCACCTTTTCTTGGCGGGGCCGGGCCTGTCACGGTACTTGCTTCTTTCCGTGAAAGCACCAAGGCGGTCCGGTACGCTCTACCTGGTAATACCATTTTCCTCTGCCACCCGCTGTGCCTCCTCGCTCGTTTCCGTTGATGCTTCCTTCCTCTTCCCCTGCTGGCGTTTTTGTGACTTGGGGCACTTGCTTTGGCATTGCATAGGTTCGCAATCGCGGGGTGGTCCTTGCCGGCGACGGCGTTTGCTCTCTACACCCTCTCCAACCTCGCCCCTCGAGCACGCAAGGCAAGGAAGGATATGTCTTACCGCTATTGGTTGTTTTTGACGTCACGTTGGAAGGCAAGCTAGCCGTCCTTACTTGCATCTAGTTATTTAATAGTGCCAGGCTGATACCGCGCCCGAAGGCCATGGCATGATTTTGTGTGCGGCGTCACCGAGAACCATCACACGAAAAAAACGATTACTCGTCCGCCCACTGACGTGTGGTCAAAAGGCCGTCAGCCCGTTTTTATTATGTTTTGTCCCATGAGGGGGGGGGGGGGGGGGGGGGGAACCT